GGGGGAGGGACCGTAGGCGGTTGGCCAGCTGACCCTGCCCCCTGGTCGAACTCCCAGTGGAACTCCAGGTCACGGGGACAATTTGCATATCAGCCTTTTGTTACATAAGACTAGAGGCCCAGTGCATGAATTCATGCACAGTGGAGTCCCTCAGCCTGGCCTGCGGGATCGGGCCAAAGCTGGCTCTCCGACATCCCCCAAGGGGTCCCAGATTGCGAGAGGCATGAATTCCTGGCCTGTGGGATCAGGCCAAAACCAGCTTTCCAACATCCCCTGAGGGGTCCTGGACTACAGGAAGGCTCAGGCCAGGCCAAGGGACCCCACAGTGCACGATTGGGGCCAGTGAGGTATACGGGTGGTTGGCCAGCTGGGAATGGACTATGGAAGGGCTCCAGAGCATGTCTGGCCCATCTTGCTCAGACCCAATTGGCCAGACCCCAGTAGCAAGCTAACCTACCAGTTGAACTGTGTGCCACCTGGTGGTCAGTGCACATCATAGCGAGCAGTTGAGCAGGCTTAGCAGCATATCATTAGCATATTATGCTTTGATTACAGTGGAGTCCCTCAGCCTGGCCTGCGGGATCGGGCCAAAGCTGGCTCTCCAACATCCCCCAAGGGGTCCCAGATTGCGAGAGGGCACAGGCCAGGCCGAGGGACCCCACCTGTGCACGATCGTGGCCGGGGAGGGACGCAGGAGGTTGACCAGCTGTGGAGGGACTGTGGAAGGGCTCAAGGGCATGTCCGGCCTGTCTCGCTCAGTCCTGATTGGCCGGACCCTAGCAGCAAGCTAACCTACTGGTCAGAGTGTCTACCCCCTGGTGGTCAGTGCACGTCATAGTGACTGGTCGACTGGTCAACTGTGTGCCACCTGGTGGTCAGTGCACACTATAGCGAGCAGTTGAGCAGGCTTAGCAGCATATCATTAGCATATTATGCTTTGATTGGTTGAATGGACGACCAGACGACTGAACACTTAGCATATTATATAGGATGACAGATATTGTTCCAGGTCAGCCGTGGGCAAACTACAGCCCGCAGGCCGGATCCGGCCCGTTTGAAATGAATAAAACTATTGAAAAAAAAGACCGTACCCTTTTATGTAATGATGTTTACTTTGAATTTATATTAGTTCACACAAACACTCCATCCATGCTTTTGTTCCGGCCTCCGGTCCAGTTTAAAAACCCATTGTGGCCCTTGAGTCAAAAAGTTTGCCCACCCCTGTTCTAGGTACTTGATATAGCTCAGTGAATAAAAGATTCTTACAGTTTAGAAGGAAAAGCTACATAATAAACAACAAGTAAATCATTTATTTTATTAAAAGGTGGTAAGTGCTGCTCTGGCCAGTGTTGCTCAATGGTTAGAATGTCAGCTGTCACACTAAAGCAGCGGTTCTCACCTGTGGGTCGCGACCCCTTTGGTGGTTGAACGACCCTTTCACAGGGGTCGCCTAAGACCATCCTGCATATCAGATATTTATATTACGATTCATAACAGTAGCAACATTACAGTTATGAAGTAGCAACAAAAATAATTTTATGGTTGGGTCACAACATGAGGAACTGTATTTAAAGGGCCAGAAGGTTGAGAACCACTGCACTAAAAGGCCATGGATCTGATTCCTGATCAAGGGTATGTACGTGGGTTTCAGGTACAATCCTCGGGCTGGCTGTTGCGCATGTGCGAGGCAACCGATCAATGTGTCTCTCTTGAATTGATGTCCGTCTGTCACTCTCTTCTATCCCTCCCTCCCTTCCACTCTCTCTAAATATCAATGGAAAAAATATCCTCAGGTGAGTAAAATAAAATAAAATAAAACTAGAACTGATTGACAATCTGTAAAAGGAGCAAATTCCCTCCCCTATGCTTCACTCAACCTGGAGGCACAGTCACGGAAAGAAAGGTTAGGGAGAAGGGGAGAAGGCACCAGACCAACAGCAGTGGCAATAAATGCAAGTTTACAAATTGCATGGTGAGATCCCCAGCTGCTCTCCCAGAAAGCTGGCAGCCAGCCTCATAAACCTCAGGTAGGAGAAGGAAAGGTTCCTCTCTAGATAAGTTGATAGGCCCGAAGAAAAAAGACACAGAGATATACACATTTTGGAGCAATTACAATATAATAAAATGTTTATATTAAAAAAAAAGGAAACAAATACTTACATAACCAACATCAGGTCTGTAACATGTATATGCCCCTAAGATACTATGTAAAACATCATGATATGGGCCACCCTTTGAAGAGAAAAATAAAATGTCATACTATACAAATAACTGTCTCTAAGTTACTTGTCAAATATCATGTTAATAAACTTTAGCATTTCCCAAAAGATTAATTTTAGTTAGTATATTTAATCATTGTCAGAAATAGTCTAAATGCACTCTGCCAAGATGCTTTCTAAATAATTTAAAAATATGTAATCCTAAACAACAAAAAGTCAAACTCTCTTGAGAGACATAGCTATAAAGTTTATGTACAATTTTAAAGACTTCTGGATTTGGTACAATAAGATTACAAGGAAAACAGAATGTTCCATTTTATATAATACAACTTCAGCAAAAAAAAAAAAAAATACCATCAAGCTACACTAAATTAAGTTTACTATTAGTTTTTATCTTAATAGTAAAAATGTTTATGTCATTTTATTAATCTAAAGATAGAGAAATTCCATATATTAAAGATTTGAGTCAAATATGAACTACACATAAAATGTAATGATTTCTCATAAAGTATAAGCAACTTTATTCCTTATATTCCCTATGCTGTACTTTATATCCCTGTAAGAAACTTTTTTTTTTAAGGAACTTCTTAATAGTCTCTGCAGAAACAACCCCCACTCCCCAACCCCATTTCAATAGTAATTCTAAAAAATTTAAATTTGGGGACAAATTCTTTTATATTTACACAATTTACTAGGCAAAACAGTTAAATTTCAAATATTTTACAGAATAAAAAGTAAAATAAAGAAATCCACCTTGATGATAATTAATCCAGTACCTACTACATAAAATTATGATGTGCTATGCTCACTGCAATGCATTTAGTCAGTGGGATAAAGTAATAAAATTTCCATTAAAATTTTCCAACTAGTGTCACATTTTTTAATATAAAGTTCCCCAAATTTTATAGTTTTGCCTTTAAATAGTAATAGCTATGAATTTGGAGAATATGTTCCCTTGGATTTTTTAGAAGTAGTTAAAAACCTGGTTAGAAACCCTCACCTTCTGAAAGATGTAGAGAGATGGAAATGTACGGGATATGTCCAACTTAATTAATTCCAGACTGGCCTCCCGATCAGCAATAGATACACCTATATTTGTAAATAAAGTTACAATTATTATTTGGCTATATCCAGTTCAATCTTATAAACACAGAATGATTACACTGAATATATGTTATTTAAGGAAGGTTAAAAGCTGAACAATCCAGAAACTTAAAGAAATGCCACACAGCTTTTGCTGGAATTTAGAGCTTCTTCTGTGAAGACTATATCTATACATTTATCAGAAAGTTATATGGTGAAGGATTTCTACTTCCTTTTTTTTTTTTTTAAAAAAAAAAGGTAGGGTTTTTTTTTTTTTATAGAGGGTAGGTAGATTATCACTTCCACAATAACAACTAGATAAAAACATTTCAAGTATCATTTTTAAAAAAGGCATAACAGAGTTGTGTACACAGAGAGGTCCAGAGAATTTAAATCCTAGAAAGAGAAAAGCCTTTCCTAGGTGAGTGGATACCAGTGGTCGAATTTAACAGGGATGTTTACATACTCACAGAAAACCACTATGCGATACGCACCATTTCTCTATCCTAAGCCATGTTCATTTTTATTTTATTTTTATTTTTTAAAATGTATTTTATTGATTTTTTTTACAGAGAAAAAGGGAGAGGGATAGAGAGAAACATCAATGAGAGAGAAACATCGATCAGCTGCCTTCTGTACATCCCCTACTGGGGATGTGCCCGCACCAAGGTACATGCCCTTGACCGGAATAGAACCTGGGACCCTTGAGTCCGCAGGCCGATGCTCTATCCACTGAGCCAAACCGGTCAGGGTGCCATGTTCATTCTTAGAGTTGTACATCCAGGCAAGAGAAGAGGGTTTGCTTTTTACTAAGTAGAACAAATACAGAAAGAAGAGTGACTGACAGACAAATGGCTTTCCATAATTTAAGGACAAGAGATGGTTGAACAAATTTACCTAAATTTAATAAATTATGATAACAGAAAAAGATTTTTTTCCAAAATGATCAGGAATAAAATTGATAAGAATGGAGGAATAAAAGGAGCATATGAGTGAATTAAATAAACAAAGATTAGGCACAAGAATTATAAAAAATATGTATTAGGAAGTGAGTGAAAGTCAGTGAGAGAGGAGACAGGAGGTCACAAATGAGGTATAAAAGATCATCTATCTTTAAGTTAAAAGTTGGGTCGTGGTGGGTGTTGCTTAATGGTTGGAGGGTCGTCCTGTGACCAAAGGGTCTTGGGTTCGATTCCTGGTCAAGGGCATGTACCTGGGTTGTAGGTTCGATCCCTGGCCCAGTTGGGGCACGTGTGGGAGGCATCCAATCAATAGAGCTCTCTCACATTGATGTTTCCCTTTCTCCCTTCCTCTCTCCCTTCTTCTCTCTCTAAAAACAATGGAAAAATATCTTCGGGTGGGGATTAAAAAAAAACACGTTGGCCTAAAAATACTTCACCCCCATTACCCTTAATGGCTATGATTAAATCCTGGGCTCTGGAGTCCAACTGCTTGGGTTTACATCATGGCTTCACTGCTTATAAATTAACTACTTTGAGTTTCCTCCTATATCATCCAGGATATCACCTACTTAAAGAGTTATTAACATTAGAGTAGATAATATATGTAAAGCAATTCTATAGTTCCTGACACATGGTAATAATTATCGCCAAAACCGGTTTGGCTCAGTGGATAGAGCGTCGGCCGGCGGACTAAACGGTCCCAGGTTTGATTCCGGTCAAGGGCATGTACCTGGGTTGTGGGCACATCCCCAGTGGGAGATGTGCAGGAGGCAGCTGATCGATGTTTCTCTCTCATCGATGTTTCCAACTCTCTATCTCTCTCCCTTCCTCTCTGTAAAAAATCAATAAAATATATTAAAAAAAATAATTATGACATAGTCCTCAGTGACTGGACTTTCATCCAAAAATTTTTGTTAACAAAAAATAATCACACCCTTTCTCTTCAACGAGGGTCAGAGCAGCCTCCCCAGCAGATGAAGAGATGCAGATCTTTGTGAAGACCCTGATTGGCAAGATCATCACCCTGGAGGTTGAGCGCAGTGACACCACTAAGAATGTCAAAGCTAAAATCCAAGACAAGGAGGGCACCCCACCTGAACAGTAGTGTCTGATTCTTATGGGTAAACAGCTGGAGGATGGCCACACCTCTCAGACTACAGTATTCAGAGAGGCCACCCTGCACTTGGTGCTTCATCTGTGGGATGGTATCATCAAGCCCTCCCTCTGCCAGCTTGCCCAGAAGCATAACTGCGACAAAATGATCTGTCACAAGTATTACACCTGCCTGCACCCCCTGCTGTCAACTGCTGCAAGAAGTACAGCCACACCAACAACCTGTGCCCCAAGAAGGTTAAATAAGGCCCCTCCACCACCTCCTCCTCGGGCCCGCAGGGTAGCCTTCTGCCTGAATCCCGTGGCTCTGGGGCCTCAATAGTTTCCCTTTCATTGAAAAGAAAAAGAGTAATAATCACACCTTCTGTATCATTCTCTGAACTTGTTTCACTGAGGCTTTTGCACCGTTCTTTCGCTCTTGATAGGAAGATTTCATAAAGTTCTGGGTGAGGGAGAACAAAAATTCATCAATAATAGGAAAAATATATTCACATATTTTTATTTTTATTCTTAAAAATAGAAAAACATGATCCCATTATAGGTCAGGCATATCTTATGTAGCTGGCATAAAAAAATAGCAAATGTAGGTACTCAATTCTACCAAAACTATTTATTATGCACCAGAAAGGCAGCAAATGAAAATATTCCAGAGCAGCCATCCAAATAGCTACAATATAGAATGTATGTATGAGGCAGGTAGAGACACTTCTGCTAAAGGAACCATTGTACAATAGCAGAAACATGATTTTTGGAATCATTCAGACCTAGATTCAAACTCCGGCTCTGCCACTTACTACCTGTGGGATTTATAACTCTGGAACTTGGCTTTCTTCATCTGTAAAATGGAGAAAAATAATACCTATTCATGTGTTACTGATGATTAAACAAGACCATTTATGTAAAGCTTCTGACACCTTATAGACCCTCAATAAATGCTAGTTCTTGCTTCCTTCTCTCTTGAAATTGGTTTCTCCATTATGATACAGTTATCTTAAGCTACATAAACTTTAGTCAGAGTCACATACAAAAATCTCTACTCCTATCTTTTACTCTAAGAGCCCAATCACTTAAAAAAAAATATATATATATTCCAATATATATATATGTGTGTGTGTGTGTGTGTGTGTGTGTGTGTATGTATATGTGTGTGTGTACCTTCCTTTTTTTTCTTTTTCTTTTCTCTCATACCATCTTTTCTCTCTTTGATGTCATTTGTGCTCTCTTTTCTTTCTCCAGATTCTAGGGATATTACCAAGCTACAATACATTGTATGACTAGACCAGTGATGGCGAACCTATGACACGAGTGTCAGAGGTGACATGCAAACTCATTTTTTTGGGTGATTTTTCTTTGTTAAATGGCATTTAAATATATAAAATAAATATCAAAAATATAAGTCTTTGTTTTACTATGCTTGCAAATATCAAAAAGTTTCTATATGTGACACGGCACCAGAGTTAAGTTAGGGATTTCCAAACTGCTGACACGCCGAGCTCAAAAGGTTCGCCATCACTGGACTAGACCATAATATGTATTCTTATATTGCCAAGAATCAGATTATAAAATAACTTACTAGATATATTTCAAACAGACTCATTATTCTGATCTCTTCTTTCTGTTCACTTTTCATTATTACTAATGGTTTGGAAAGAAATCAAACTCAAAATTTCTATTATTTCTATGCCCTGACTGGTTTGGCTCAGTGGATAGAGCGTTGGCCTGCAGACTGAATGGTCCCAGGTTGATTCCGGTCAAGGGCATGTACCTTGGTTGTGGGCACATGCCCAGTAGGGGGTGTGCAGGAGGCAACTGATTTGATGTCTCTCTCTCATAGATGTTTCTAACTCTCTATCCCTTTCCCTTCCTCTCTGTAAAAAATCAATAAAATATATCACACAAAAAAAAGCTGTTGTGGCACAGCAAGTGTCCCTGGGGAGGGACAAGATGGGACCAGTGGCCTGGCTAACTGGAACAAACTGAGGCATCTCTAAGGTGAAGAGGGTAGGGAGGAGTGTAAGAAATCCATGGGGGGAGACATCTGTAATACTAGCAACAATAAAAAATACATGTATTATTTTTAAAAAAATAAAATAAATGGAGTGCCCCACTCCATTTGGTGTAAGAGCTAGATATAAGTTTTAAACTTAGATATAGAATTTTTGGAAATTATTAGGAACCAAATTGAAGTTCATACATTTTATTTCAAACTGCTTCCAAGCCAGGTCCAGTTTCACTACTGCACTTAGTTTTTAAAACTGTCTTGGAATAAGGCTCACCAAACAAATCCATCACTCTGGAATCTACAAAATTGACCCAAAAGTAAAACTGTGGTAATGCATTTGAAAACATCAAAGGACATCTCTCAAGGGAAGATTTACATTACTTATCTATAAATAGAAGATGTATATCTCAGTTCAATTCCTTACTTGACTCTGCATGTCATATTTGCCCTGGCCGGCATGGCTCAGTTGGTTGGAGGGAGGGTCATCCCATGCACTAAAGTAGTGGTTCTCAACCTGTGGGTCGCAACCCCTTTGGGGGGCAAACGACCCTTTCACAGGGGTCGCCTAAGACCATTGGAAAACACATATTGAATATATAATTACATATTGTTTTTGTGATTCATCACTATGCTTTAATTATGTTCAATTTGTAACAATGAAAATACATCCTGCATATCAGATATTTACATTACGATTCATAACGGTAGCAAAATTATAGTTATGAAGTAGCAATGAAAACAATTTTATGGTTGGGGGTCACCACAACATGAGGAACTGTATTAAAGGGTCGTGGCATTAGGAAGGTTGAGAACCACTGCACTAAAGGGTCACGGGTCAGGGTGTGTACAGGAGACAACCGATCAAGGTTTCTGTCTCACATCACTGTTTCTCTCTCCCTCTCTCCCTCTTCCTTCCTCTCTCTCTAAAAGAAAATAAAAATATTAAAACAAAACAAAAAATCAATGGACATTTCTTAAGGGAAGATATACAGTGCTTATCTCTCTATATAAAAACCCTGTGACCAGTCAACTGTTGGAGAAGTCACTATGACGTGCACTGACCACCAGGGGGCAGACGCTCAACGCAGGAGCTACCCCCTGGTGGTCAGTGCGCTCCAACAGTAGGAGCGCTGCTCAGCTGACCAAAGGGTAGCTGTGGCAGCAAGAGCCTCTCCTGCCTCCCGCCTCTGTAGCAGCGCTACTGAACAGCAGTGGCAGGTGCAGTGGGGTTGGGATGAGCGGGAGCAGCATGGCACCTGGCCTAGGCTTGGGCTCCTCCTTGGCCGCCTGCAGCTTTGCATCCCTCAAGGGGTCCTGGATTGTGAGAGGGCACAGGCCAGGCTGAGGGACCCCACCAGTGCACGAATCTGCACTGGGGCTCTAATCTATAAGACCTGCATCTCAGTTCAATTCCTTGCTTGACTCTGCATGTTATACTTATTTTATTTTGAATCTACAAATGTAAAGTTCTGAAGCAGAGATGTGTCTTAGGAACCGAAAATACTTTGAGATCAGTTTATATTTCACTCTGATTTTCTGACAATGATGATATTGTACATATTTGGCAAATTTCACTTTCACTATAATGTTATACTCATCATCACAAAAAAATGTTAGAACAATTCTTTGAGATAGCTAACAATCTAACCCCATTTTACAGATGAAGAAAACTAAGACTACTGGATGTTAAGTAATTTGCCCAAGGTCACAAATCTAAGATATAGTAGAACCAAGATTTGAACCACATTTGACTGACATTAGAACCCTTATTCTGTTACTATTCCCTAATTGTTATGAATTTCATGATTAAAACAAATACAATAGGTAAGGAGTCAAACTATTATAGCCATTGAAAGTAGAGAAGGTTATATAAAGTAAATTTACTGATCAAAATTTAGCTTCCTTTCCACCACTAATGAGAGAGAGATGAATACCCAGTCTATTCCTGAGTTGTTTTATTAGAGAAAACCTAAAATTACTTTGAAAAAAAATGGCCCAGTTATTTCAAGCTTAAAAAAACATTTTGAGTTATAGTAACACAAAAGGTTAAAACCAACTTAACCAATATTTCAATGTTTAAGTTATCAGGTTACCTAACATTCTAAAGCAAAAGTTCTCAAGAAAACAAGACTGCAAACAAAATTTCAAATAGCTACCAATGCTTCATAGTCTCATCTGTGTCCAAAACCAATTCCTAAGACTTTAAACAATTACAGTATGTTCAACAATCCCTAATATTTAGGATTTTAATGATCTAACTGAAAATTCTAACTACAATATAAAAACATTTCCTTTTAATCTGTTCCAAGCACAAAAGGCAAAAGAAACCTTTGTTTTATTGGAAAGAAGAGTTAAGTCACATAGGATCTAACTTTTTATAAGCTAAATTAAAAACTCTTAATTCTTCCTTTAAATTCTATTTTTTAAATAAAAGTCCAGTTAAAAAAAGTGTTCATTATGGGATATCTGAAAATGAATTTTAAAAATCATACATAATCATGCTATTCAAAGTTGGCATCACTTTTAGAACTAAATATTTTTGTTATAATTCTGTCCAGTTACATATAATGCAGATTTTTGCAATGAACTCTCTTACAGAAAAGCTTTTGCACCCAATCCTGATTATTATTTCCTTGGAGCAGATTCTTAGAACTGGAATAATTAGGTCAAAAGTTATGCTTTTTAAGGCTTTTGTCAAATAATTCTAAATCATTTTCAGCCACAATTTATGTGGTAATTTTTATTCTTTTTAATAACTTTTGATTTAAAAGGTAAACAACAGTACCTTGATGTTCTTTTAACGTATATGTCATTGATTTGATTATCACTAGGAAAATGGCTAAATTAATTATAGTGCAGCCACACTGTGGAATACAGTTCAGCTACAGTAGTATGCTTAAGGTACACATGTATGTACTGACATAAAAGGATAGTCAGGAGAGATTATTGCTTAAAAGCAAGCTAATGAATAATCTCAGGACATAAACTCCTTTTTGTGTGGAAAACAAATAACAAGAAGATAGAGAGAAGCCTAAAAATTTATCATATGTAGAAATACACTTTTTTATGTGCAAGAAAAAGATCTGGAAGAATATCCCCCAATTTGCTTATTTGTACTTATAAGTAGGATCGAAAGCTGGAACCTAGGTGGAAGAGGGGGAAGAAACGTACAGTTTATACTTTACTTGAATCTTTTTCAATAAATATGTAAACAGATATTTTAAGTAATAGTAACAATATATTATTTATATTATACTAGATTCCCTAAATCTTTTTTCTTTTTACCAGATAAATCCAAGAATGTACTACTTTTTATTGCTGCAAAGAGTAAGCAATACATAAATAAGGATGGGGGCAGGCTATGCAATTAAATCCCACTCTGGGAACACCTTCATTGGCCATAGTGGTTTTGACATTGGAAATTCAAAGTTGAACCAATATGCTTGCTGGAAGATAAATTTTTTTTCCCAGAAATGGCCGTGACAGCACTTGTTGTTGTGCCACAAAATATATAAAAATAAGTGATGTTATTTCAAACATTGTTCAATTGAAGTTTCTTTTTTTTTTAATTGAATGTATTAGGATGACACTGATTAATAAAAATATATGGGTTTCAGATGTACAGTTCTATAATACATCATCTGTATATAGTACTGTGTGTTCATTACCTATCTACCATTATCATTATCACTCAGACTGATGTAGCACCTTTTATTATTATTTTACATTTCCCCCATTTGATATTATGCATATTTTATTATTTTTTTAACTTCATCAAAACTCTTCTACATTTTACTCCTACTCTTCAAAGTTTTAAGAAACTTAAGAAAATGAAACAATTCCTTAAGAGTCTTTCTCTTAACATTTTCAAACCCAAAAGGACTAATCTGAGTAGAGATGAAAAATAAATTTCTAGCCTTCCCCCAATATTTATGTTTTTTTAAAGGGGAAACCTTTCCACAACTGGACTATTTTATATATATATATAAAAATAATCTCCAGTGCTACCTAGAATCTCAGAAGTTTTTGTAGTTACCTGAAGTTAAGATCTTTGGGTACCAAGAATATTATTTATGGTTGTAAATTAAAGGAAAACCCACATATCTTATTTTTGATAGTATGAAATATAGTAAACTTATTAAGTCTTACCAGGTTTTAGAGTGATGGGGAATGAAGCATGCTCCTAAAACCACATTACACTTAGTAATGCCCTTTTAAATTGCTACTCTACTAATCTGCTTTGTAACTCTGGAGATGGCTATTTGTATGTGTGGGAGTAACTGAATATAGAATACAAACCAGGAGTGATATTTAGTTCATTTCCTACAGCTAGACTCCAAACTTTCCCACGAACACTAGGGGGCAATCCCTGCCACCACAATTCTCGAACTCTTCTTGTACTACGCCTAGAATTAAAGGGGAAGAAAAAAGGAGAAAGTTACTTTTTAAAACATAGTATCCTAAAGAGAGATAACAGTAATTTAAAGGTAACTCTTTCTATAGCTGCCATTTATACTGATAAAATGAAAGAATCAGAAAGTATAATTATGAAAAACAGAATAAAAGGAACATAAAAATTTGCTGTCAATTCAGTAACCAAATTACAAGTATTTATTACGGGTAAGGCTCTCATCTTTTGAGAGGCAGTACAATCTCCTTAAAGAGTGTGTGCTTTAGAGTTAGATAGACCTGAGTTCAAATTTGATTTAACTATTCATTAATTGTATTACCTTGGGCAAATCACTTAACCTGTCTGACCTGGAGCTTCCCTATAAGATAAGTGGGAATAAAGGTTGTAAGAATCAAATGTGATTACTTATGTAAAGAGCCTAATATAATATGTCACATGTCCAATATTCAACAAATTCCCCATGCATATTCAACAAATTCCCCATGCATATCCAATATTAAACATTGTAGAAGACATCTCCCACCCTTTAGTCTAGAGGGAAGATAAGGCATGCACAAATATATTATAAAAAAATGAAAGACAAAGTAAAGCAAGAAGTACATTAGTCTAGAAATATAATGGGATGTTACAGATGGAAAACATCATATATTTTATGATATACATATATCTCACATTCTCTTGAGAAGCATATTAAAAATCACCTTTATAGTTAATAAATGCATCTTATAACGAATGTACATGCTTTAGTATTTTCTTTCCAAAAATCTGCTATGACATCAATAGTGTACCTTGCAATAAATGATATGTTAGAATTAAGAAAATATGGTAACTAAGGAAAAAAAAGTTTCATGAATCAACTAGCATTTCAAATGGGGCTCAAAGGATAGGTAAGATTCTGACAGGCAGAGAGTGGTCAGTAAAGAAAGTAGGTATCAGAAACTGACGGTTTTATAAAAGCAAAGACACAGAAATAAGCATGAAATTTTCAGACATTGATTAACAACATAATTTAGCCAAAGCATAAGCTACATGGTGGAAATAATAAAAAAATAGAGAATTGGAAACATGAGATCTTTGGAGAAAGACTGGAATTCAGGAAATGTCTGTTTACTTACATTACTTCCCAATTGGGCAATATTTCATTGATCCAAATTACCATTGCATTTGCAATATTTTCTTCTTGTTTGAATCGTTCTTTCATTATTTTTTTCCTTTTATGTGCTTCTTTAATTTCTGTTTTAAACAAGTAAAAATTATTTCAATACAAAAGAGCTAGATCAAAACCCCCTTCTTCTACCTAAGCTTACAAAAGAGGCATTCTCAAAAAGAATATTTTAATAAAAGGAAGGAAGAAAAAAAGGAGAAGAGAGAAAGGAAAAAGGTGGGTGAGGGAAGGTGATAAAAAGAGAAATAAAAAGAATTTAATTAATATAATTTTAAAATAACATCTCCTATTGTACAAAATGAAACAAAGGCCAAAAAATCATTTAAATAGATTACAGTATCACATACAGTGGGGCCTTGACTTACGAGTTTAATTCGTTTCATGACGGAGCTCGTAACTCAAATTACTTGAATGTCAAATCAAAAAGTGAACGAGTGAGACACGTGATGCTGGGCTGATGTTGTGATGTTCACTGTGACGTTCGCTGCAATAAACTAAAATTTGGCATGAGTTAACTATGTAAAAAATAAACCAGCCCTAGCTGGTTTGGCTCAGTGGATAGAGCGTCGGCCTGTGGACTGAGGGGTCCCAGGTTCGATTCCAGTCAAGGGCATGTACCTTGGTTGCAGGCACATCCCCAGTAGGGGGTGTGCAGGAGGCAGCTGATCGATGTTTCTCTCTCATCGATGTTTCTAACTCTCTATCCCTCTCCCTTCCTCTCTGTAAAAAAATCAATAAAAATATATTTTAAAAAAATAAATAAACTACTGTGGCCCAGCCAGCTTGGCTCAGTAGTTGAGCGTCAACCTATGAACCAGGAGGTCATGGTTCGATTCCAGGTCAAGGCACATGCCTGAGTTGCAAGCTTGATTCTCAGTAGGGAGCATGCAGGAGGCAGCCGATCAATGGTTCTCTTTCATCATTGATGCCTCTATATCTGTCTCCCTCTCCCTCCTCTCTGAAATCAATAAAAATATATTCAAAAGAAAATAAAAAAATAAACTACGGTGAGCAACTAACCAACACCTTTTTTTTCATACAAGGGGTTTATGTACTTCCTCACATAAAACCACGTAACATTAAAAACTGAGTATGATGCTTCACTTTACTAATTAAATTTTTTAAATCCCTCTAATACACACATACATGCAAACAACACCCCTCTGAAAATCAGAAGTCACAATTCCAGAAGAGATGCATCAAAAATAGAGAAGTAAAATATATGTAAACTATACATATATAATTACATATAATTTTAGAACCAGTGCAAACTTCAGAGATCAGCTAGCTAAAGTATTTTCGAGCCTTAGCCGATTTGGCTCAGTGGATAGAGCCTTGGCCGGAGAAAGGCTCCCAGGTTCGATTCCAGTCAAGGGCACCTACCGTGGTTGCACGCTCGATCCCCGGCCCAGTTTAAGGCATGTGCAGGAGGCAAACATTTAATGTGTCTCTCTCACATCGATGTTTCTCTCTGTCTCTCCCCCTCCCTTTCACTCTCTCTAAAATCAATGGGAAAATATCCTTAGATGAGGATCAACAGGAAAAAAAAAGTAAAGTGTTTCTTAAATTGATTCAGATATACCTCAGGAACTCTCTTTTTTTAAAAAAAAATTTTTTTATTGATTTCAGAGAGCAAGGGAAAGGGTGAAAGAGATAGAAACATGAATGATGAGAGAGAATTATTCATCTGCTGCCTCCTGCACACCCCCTACTGGGGATCGAGCCAGCAACCTGGGCTTGTGCCCTAACTGGGAATGGAACTGTGACCTACTGGTTCTTAGGTCGATGCTCAACCACTGAGCCACACCGGCTCGGCAGAAACTATTTTAAGGGGTAAGCTAGAGGCCAATTAGGCAGTTTCACTTTTAAAAACTTGTTTTATATATTCAGATTCTACATAAGATTTCTTTGGAGTGGGTTCCACTGTTATAAAAAAAAAAAAGTATTGACAGAGGGACTTGAAAGTGTGCATCTAGTTGACCTGCCCCCCACATTTTATAGATGAGGAAACTAACATTCGGTCTATTTAGAGTGTCACATCCAGGTAGTGTCAAACAGGATTAAAGCTGTGACCTTCTGATTTCCCAATTCAATGTTATTCTATCATAACATGTTCTTAGGATTATCTACTTATTAATAACTATCTTAAATATTAATTGAACAGTAAAGTCAGTGTTGAGAGTCAATTAAAACTTGTATTTTGAATTATGTATAGAAAAATAAACTCAACCTGTGTTTAAATAATTGGGCCCTTTAGAAAGATATTGGCTTTATAGATTTACTATAAGATTAAAGATTAACTTCATTTCCAAAATAGTGCCACAAAGAAGAACTGTATACTATTATAACATTCCATTCACGTAAGTTAAGGAAAAATATCACTTGTTAAAAAAGCTTATGTCAAGCCCTAGCTGGTATGGCTCAGTAGATAGAGCGTTGGCTTTTGGATTGAAGGATCCTGGGTTTGATTCCTGTAAAGGGTACATGCTGGGTTGCGGGCTCGATCCCCAGTAGGGGGCATACAGGAGGCAGCTGATCAATGATTCCCTCTCATCATTGATGTTTCTATCTCCCTCTCCCTCTTCCTTCTTCTCTGAAATCAATAAAAATATATTTTAAAAAAAGCATAGGCCAAAAAGTGTGCATGTATGTGTGTTTACACAAACATAGCTGTGTAATATTTTCTAAAAATATATCCTGAACAGTACTTAGTAAATATTGTTAAATTATCCTTACACTATACTTTTTGGTTGGAAGAGAGAATGAATAAATGTGTGAATTTATGCACACGAGAGTATACATTTATGTGACTGTCCAAATGACACAACTGGGACTCTAGAGAGACTCCATGAAGTCACAAAAGTATATTTTAATTTCAAATCACATTCTCACAGTCATACAGGAAGTTATTTTAAAGCATTAAAATTATTAAATTATATATCAAAAGCCTAAAAACTGTACAAGTAAATTTCATGAATAAATATCTTCATTTATAAGTTAGTAGTAGTCCAGGGTTCATGACTGTAATGACAAGATCTCAAATATAGTCTGCTGCCTTTCTCTTCCTATTAGTTTTGTAAAAGTCCTTACAGAAGAACTATGATCTTAATATGACATTTTATTTCTCTTTAAGAACAAATGTAGTTATAAAAATAAGAAATCACCATCATCATAAAGACAGACTTCATCAATTTCACCATCTACCTTCCTGTTGAAATTCAGTAAATTAAATTTACCAACTAGAGTTAAAGTTATACCTCGTTTTTTAGCCTCAGCCACCATCTCATCATATTCTTGTCGGTGACGTAAAGCTTCTTCCACAGATTTGGCAGGAAGATTTCTGGGGGGAAAATTTTTTTAAGTCACTTTTCAAAAGACTAACTTTTAAATGTATTAATTTCTTTTTTTATAGATACCAAGAATTTTTAACTTCATCTCATTTCATACATTAAGAAAGTAATAGGTTGAAAAGAACTTTGCATTTTAGAAAAGAACCAGAATCCGAGTTGCCAATATTTGTTATATATATTTATATGTCATATGTATGTGTTTATTCATTATTTTTGAATGTCAAATTTCAGCCAATATTTCTAGGTCTTATTAAACCCACTTACTACAGGGTTTTTTAAAGTAAACTTTTTGGAGGTAGAATTTACATGTGATAAAATGGAACAAACATATTTTAAGAGTACAGTTTGAAGAGTTTTGACAATTTTACATACCTTTGCAACTAACATGCCAATCAAGATACAGAACATTCCCATCACTTCATTAAGTTTCCTATAACCCTCTGCACTCAATACTTACCCAATCACATCTGTGATTTCTATCACTGTACCTTAGTTGGTTGCCTTTTAAAGAGTTTCACATAGATTCTTTTTTGTCTGGCTTCTTTTGCTCAGCATATTTTAAAAATTCACCCATGCTGTTCTGTGTATTATGAACATATTCCTTTTAATTGGTGATCAGTGTTCCATTTATCCATTTGGATGAACATTTAGACTGTTTCCAGTTTGGGGACACTATGAATAAAGGTACTATAAATATTCACTTCAAGTCTTGTGTGGGTATCTGCCATCATTTCTCTATGCATATATACCTAAGAGTAGAATTCCTGGATTACATGGTAAGTGCCAGTATACTTTTATAACAAACTGCTTTGTACTTTTAGAGTTTCAAGATAATGTTATGAATAATTTGATAATCAGTTAATCACTTGCATATGCTATATATCCTATCTAATAATAGGGAAACATGGTAATTAACCATAACTTCGCTACCCTTCCCATTGGCTAATCAGCAAGATATGCAAATTAACTGCCAACCAAGATGGCGGCTGGCAGCCAGGCAGCTGAAGCGAACAGGAGGCTTCCTTGCTCCAGTGATGGAGGAAGCCAAGGTTCCCTGCTTGCTGCTGCCAG